AAATCGTTCCTAGAAATAGCAATAAAAAGAAAAAGGTATTATAACAGAACAAAGTTCTAATAAAATGAGGAATGAAGAAGAAGAAGAATAAAATAAATAAATAATATGTAAGGATATAATATTATTTTAATTGAGAAATTATATTGATTTTATGATTTACTTTTATATTACAATTGTTGTATAGCTCTTTTTTTTTTTTTTTTTTTTTTTTTTTTTTTTTTTTTTTTCTATTCTTTCCCCCCGACCACCTTTTTTTACGAATCAAACGAATTCATTCCACCTGTTAATCGTTTTGTCGGCTAATTTTTTTTCTTTTTGATTTTTTCTTTTGTTTTATTCCCCAATTTGATACGAAGAACATTACTAAAAGAAAGAAAAAAATGAGGGACAAGAAGAAGAATAACAAGAAGAAGAAGAAGAAGGAAAAAAACGAAAGATCAGAATAACACGTTTTGAAAAATTCTATCAATTGGAATTCGCGACAAATGAATATTATTCTCGCGATAGAAAAAAAATATATATACAATAAAATTGTGTATTATATATTTGTTCCTTTGTTTTTATTTATTTTTCTTTTTTTCTTCGACACCCCAAAAATTATATTTCAACGAAGATATTCCATACTTGAATATATTGTATACAAGAATTCTTATCCGGCCTAATTAAATTGACGCTGGGAATAGATCGAATAAGATTGTTAATAGTAATTAAGTAGGTACTCAACCAACACGTATAATGATTAAATCGTTAACAGTGGGAAACGTTTTAATCTGACTTTAATCTAAACATTTAATCTCGTAAAGGTTATTGGATCGATATGTGTTTTTGCTTGGTCAGTAAATAGTATTCATATGATTAATGCTTTTTTCTTTGTGTTTTTTTTTTTTGTTCTTTCCTTCATTTCTTTCTTTCCATTCCTTTGAATTTTTATATCATTGCACATCTGTAACAACACAAACACACACACACACACACACAGTCAGCCAGGACAGACAGACAGACAGACACAAACACACACGTATCGTTTAACGCCTATACTTGAACTTTCGATAATACGAATATCGATTGGTTGACCTTGTTACATAATCGTTCCTTGTCGTTAAGCAAAACTTCGATAACTCAAAAAATTGTCCGTTGAATTTTATTATTTTTCTATACGCCGTACGCGTATAAACGAATAAATATATTTGTTTTCTTTTTTTTTTTTTGTTTTACTTTTGCGGTGACTCTCTCTCAAAAAAAAAAAGAAATCCCCATAAAAAAAAAAAAAGACAAAATATATTACTTCCGGTGTTAGATTTTTAATGCAATCCGTGAGCGAATTTTTTTTTTTTTTTTTTCACGTTTTTCTTTTGTTTTTTCTCTGTCCGGGGAAATAAGAGACGAGCCGCGCATGCGCGCGCCGCCGCTCGGTTTTTGTTTAGACGATCCGCCGCCATATTTAATTTTTCCCGCCAATAAAAAACTTTCGCGAATATTTAGCCCCATTTGCCGTATGTTCTTTTTCTTTTTCTTTTTTTCTTTATCGTCGATGAGAATCAATTCACGCGATTATCGTTAATCGGTACTGTTAATCGTTCGGAAATTGTACGCGCCAATGGTAAAGAAATGTGAAAAAAAAAATAAGAAAAAAAAAGAAAAAAAAGAAAACATTTACGTTTATACGTAACCACCTATACGTGCTTATGCGTTTATGCAAATACGTATATATATACGTATATATGAGTATCAATTTAAACTGAGTAGCTTTACGAAGCAATAAAACTTAATTAACGATACGATATACAAACAAGTTTTGTAAGATTATGGTAACCATTTGCGAACCCCTCTCCTAACCCCTCGGCCCAACTATCGAGTAGCTCCATTTCAAATTCACGTTTATTTTCATTTATTCAATCTTGTCGATTTTTCTTATCGCCGTACGAATAAAAATACGTGGACGTGTTTGAAAATTTGTACGTTAAAAAAACAAAACAAAACAAACTTACACACACAAGCATACACATTCATATATATATATATATATATATATATATACGTAAAAGGCATATACAAGCACGTTGAAAAATTTATCTGCTCGCTAACGCTCTAATCTCGTTTCTATTTTCGTATAATGAGGAAAATAAAAAAAAAATTATAATAAGAAAAACAAAAAAAAAGAAGAAAAAGAAAAGCATCGCGCAACGCAACATCTTATCGGAATGAAAATTTGTAAAATCCCGTGTTAGTTAAATTACTTTGTTTATTTGTATTGAATATAACGTCGTTAACTTTATTTCTCTTTGAATATAATTTGCCGTTTTTTTTTTCTTCTTCTTCTTCTTCTTCTTCTTCTTCTTCTTCTTCTGACACTTCCCCCGACCCCACTTCTCTCGGCTGTTTAATTGTCTTTTAATTGTATAAGCAAGCAATACTCGTTTCTTCGAACACCTGAGTGAGATTTAAAAAATCTTCTATAAACTCGTTTCTTGATCGTTCGCGAGATGTTATTTACATGATTAGGAATTACACGAGTGATTTAATATTATGTTCTTTTTTTTTTCTTTTTTACCTTCTTTTTTTTTCTCCTGTATAAAATTTATTGACAAACGTAATGGTCGATCGGTAGGTCTCGTTTAGAAATTAAAATGGACGATTCAATTAATTTGAGGAATATGTTTTTCTCGCGGTGAATAATATTTTTATATTTTTATTTAAGGAAGAAAAAAAAAATAAAAAGAAAAAAAAACCAACTCGTTTTACATATAAAAGTAATAAAAAAGAGTTAAACGAATGTAATTAATTTGAATTTTAGTTAATATCATTTGTTGATAATAATACTCAATAAATTTTCTTTTTAATGTCCGAGAAAAACGATAAATAATTTATTAAACACGTTACGTTTATATAAAAATATATTTAATATTTTTTTTCTTTGATATCTCGAATTATAAAATTCATATAAAATATATATAATAAATTGTTTGATTATAAGAATTAATTTTGATTTTCTTTTCTTCGTAATTTTTAAATTTATAAGTTATATTAA